CCATTGGGCTGCAATATGTGGGCAACCTTTATAATTAATTTAGGTATTTAACATTATCGGAACTTGAAAGAAAATTATAAATTTATATTTTATAAAACAAAAGTACATAAGTCAAAAGAATATTACCTGGTTCGTCTTTGTTTCTCTGCCTTAATGTCATATCTTTCCCAAATGACATCAAAGAACACTTGTACGAAATTAGCCCAAATTGCCCAATTGCTTCCAACATTATATGGACATTATTCAAACGAGCAGTGTTAAAAGAAATGTTCACATGGTAAAACCACCGAGCAATATACTGAATCACCCTGGTTCTATCTTCCTTTTTAAACCTATTTTCGATTGTCACCTATTTTTTCCCCTTTTCCCTGCCTTTCTCAATTACTGCCTCAGGGCTAGGTGTAAAAAAACTATCTATAGGCCCTCTCGTACGAGCCTTCTTAAACCCAAAAGCCCTCTTAGTCTTAGAGCTCTGAGTATCAACCATGGCTACCTCTTCTTCCCCCTCTTCATCATCATCTTCTTCAATTTCAATATTATCATAAAAAATATGAACCCCTAACTTTAATTCTCCTATATCCTTTCTTTTTGCAACTTTTTTACTCTTTTCAGCTTCAATGTACTCCAAAATTTCTTTCTTTACAAGATCTGGGACTTTCTTACATGGGGCGACATCACCTCTAATACCGGTAAGATGTTTCTTAAATCTATTTATGCCGGCATTAGAAACATGTCCACAAAAATTGCACATAATTTTATTTCTGTCGTTCTTATCCGGGTTAACACAATATTTTCATCCTGGATCTCCATCCCTAGTAGACCGCGCAGAAGACATCTCAAATTGCAAAAATATATCTCAAATAAAGATTACAGACTGACCTTTTCTACCCAATCTCTGATCTTCAATGTTGGTTATCTCAATCGAGCTACGAATCAACTTCTAATACCACCAACAGCACCCTAAAAATAATTTCAATTAGAAAAACAAATTTTTTTAATCCACAAGAAGTACTTTTGATTCTCAACAATTGCTTTAGATTCTCAGAAATAAGTTTAAGATTGAGAGTTTCTTGTTTTTTGTCAATTTGGAGTTGAAAAATAAACCCCTAAACTTCTTTTATACAAACTTGAGGGTTAAAATGACCCCTTTTGCCCTTTTGGGCGAAGTTTAAAAAAACAAAATCGTAAACTGTGCTAGGCGCCCACCCAGGTACAGCCGCCCTTGTTGGGACACCCAGGTCAAGGAGTGCGGAAATTTTTTTTGGGCGCCTAGGCACCGGGCGATCCCCTTTTTTAAACATTGCATGAATGTGGGGACATTTTTCCTAAGAGCTTACTTTTATCTCCAAGTGCCATGGCCTTCAAAAACCAGGTAGAAGATATTGTGTTTTGTGGCAATTTAAAGGCCATTAACTCCTAGTTGTTTTTATGTACCACAGTTATTTTTTAATACTCATGTCCTTATAATAGTCCTGGTTTTTGTGGGAGTATTGGGCTTTAGTGGGAGTATTGGGCTCTAGTGGTAGTACTGGGCTCTGTTGGTTTTTAAAGCGGTTTATAACATGTCGTGATGAGCAGGCTCTTTAGAGCCGACTCGGATAGCAGCTCTATGAGATTTAGAGCGAGCTGGCAAGTGTTAATGTACTCTAGGACTCTAGCCTTGGTTTGGTGTTCTAGGGACGAGGCTTGTAAAGTCAGATCACATCACAGGACTGGTCGCACCACAGGACTGGTTTGGGGTTTGATCCCAAGATGTATCTACCAAAGCAGGTTCATGGATGTCCCATCGTCGTTGATTGTGTCCAGTGGTGGTTAAAGTTGATTAGCTAATGGATGTATAGGCTACTGTGTGAAGAATGGAGCTTGTAAAGACAAGGCCTTAACCTCGATACTTTCATTCTTCTAGGGATACACACATGACTTCTGCATTGACCTAGAATTGGCTAGAATCCTGGATTCTGGATGGTGTACAGCTGGAGAGAGACCCTTCACTACCCGTAATGGAACCTTATATAGGGAAGCAGAAATCATTACAGAAATTAACTGACTTATGACTAATCCTTGAAGGGAAGACCTGGAATCCTAGGTGAACTTGTAATCTTATTTACTTCTTGATAGGTCTAACGGGCCAATCATGACCCCTTCATGAGAATACTTGTGGGTTATGGGTTTGTTTGGGTTGGTTTGAGGGTACATGGTAATTGCGAGCATTATCTAGGAGTGCCTAATGGAAAAGGAATTTTTTCCCCCTAAGGCATGCTCATTCTTCCAATGAGATCTTTCCTAATTTTTCCATTCATGTTTTTGAGGAGGAAAATACTTTTAGTTACCTCATTCTTGTATTATGTTGGTTTAGTAAAAGAATTTTTCTGGAATACAAGTTTGTTCTAAAGAAAGGGCTATTCTAGAAATAATATTTTTGTTTCAAGTATACTTGGAAATTACAAGAGAAAAGGAGAGCAGGGTTATAATTATCACTGTTGTACCATGTTGGAGCACACATTAGGGGGGGGTAAACATGGGCCACATGGGGTCAAGTTGGGCCCACTCCAATGGAGGCCAAGTGGATCCCACATGTGTCGCCCCTGGGTTGGCATGCCCCACTTGTTTTGGTTTCCCAGTTTGTTTTAAATTATGTGATTTTAAAGATTTGAGTCAGATTTTAGATTTCCTTGGATTCCAAAGGTACTAAGAAAATTATTATTTTCAAAAAAGGATTTGTTTAGTTAGGAAAAGTTCTAATTGGATTTGGACTCCTAAGTTACATGGGTTTCTACGAAGGTAAAATCGTAACAAAATTGGAAGATTGTTGGGAAGGTTCCTACTTGGGGGATGAGGGTGCGTTTCCAACCCCTGGATCATGATGGTTGATCCAGGGTTAATGGTTGTGACTTGATCTCTCCCACCCCTAAGGTTTCCCACTTCTAGCAAGAGGCAGAGAACTTTATCTCCTAAGTACCCCTAAAGCAAGCCCATATAAAGACACCCCGTCTCCCCTAATTAATCATCCTATCTTTTCAACCCAAAAGTGAGAGGGAGGTGCGTAGAGAGCTAGAGAATTTGAATTCCTAGGAAAAGTTGGTAGTATGAAAAGAGTGGAAAAAGAGAGAGGATGGTGTAGGTGAAAGACTTGGGTTTTTTTTATGACATGGTTTTTGCGAGAGAGATATGAGACAAACCTTTGTTTCTTTATCTTCCCTCAATGTGTGCCTCTGCAACTTAATCTCAAAAACCTTGAGGAAGATATCTTTTTTTTTTGGGTAAGTCAAAGTGGTAAGTCAGTGAGGATTTGGGCCTCTACCGTTCGGTAAGAATGGAGTCAAAGATCTCACCATGGGGCTCGACAATACTACCGCCAAGGCCCCAGGCCATTCTCAGAGGAAGATATCTTTTCCTTCAAACTCGGTGTATCATAGGTCCATGGAAACAATAAGTTGTGTAAGAAGTCCTAGGAGGTGACCTTAGTTTTTTACTGTAGATATCAACTATGTCCAAGTCCCTGGTTCTTCACATGACAACAACTTTCCATGGTGCAAGGTATATATATTTTCTTTGTTTTTGAGTCTACTTTGTTCTAGAGAAATAACATAGATAGTGTGAGAGATGGATGTCTTATTGTAAGGTGCCTATCTCTTTTCTGCTTAATTCCACCCTAAATAAATATTGGTCATGTGCCTACTTTCATGGCTTGTTCAAAATCAATAAAAGATGCTGAAAATTTCTTGAAACAAAAACCCTAGCATGAATCAACCACACAGCCAACAGAAGGGTTTATAACTAGGATACATGAGGCTCAAACTGAAGGGTAGGAATAAGGGGTCATAAAAACTGAGGTATCTTGAAGTATGTAGGGGATAGTTTTCTTGTCTTTCAAAAACCCTCAACAAAACCAACATTGGGGGAAGTCATATGTGACAGCATAATGACACCTTGAAGCTATGAAGAGCACTCCACTCATTTAGGACATAGACTAAGATTCTCCTACGTCCCAACTCAGGGTGTCAATAGGCAGTGTCTAGGCCAGGACAAAGTTGACTTGACCCGGCATGACAGCCTAGGGGCATGATCTGAGCCTGGCCAGCACCCATACAGGCTCAAGGAGGAAAGCCGGGCCCAAGACATTGTGAAGCTGCAAGACCAGCTGGGCCCAGCACCAAAGAGACCTAGCTACTTCTGATCTGGCACTAACATGAAAAAAAATATCACATTGGGTATGTATTTCATAGGTAGGATTTGAACTTAGGGCATAGTGTTGCAAGCATCAACACCTTAACACCTTAACCATATCATGCCCACCCCAAATCCTGCATACTTCGGCTTCTTGAAGATTATAAAACATACTCATATTTGACCACTGAGTCAAATGGTTCAGCGCAAGGCCAACCTGATTATTGGTTAGGCTTAACTCCTTAGGCCCAAGAACCAAATGAAGCTTGAGCCTTGTCAAAATAGGCGGGGACCACTCGACCCCTTGCTCCTTCCCCCCCCCCAACCCCACCAAATAAAAAAATACAAAAACAAATTCCCTGACATCATTTTGTGAATAAGGAAAAACGTAAGTTGCTTCAAGCATTTGATATCAGTAAATTCATGTATGGTGAGTGTAAATGTCACAGAAATAAATAAGCCAACCAATTAGGAGACAATCTGGCTAATGAAGATGCTTATTCAGTGAGCATCATAGTTGAGGAAACAATTCCGAGGGTGGAAAGCATACCATGCTTCTTGGGTGTTGATAATCATATAAAAAATATTCACATTTATTTTTTCTATCTACGCATTGTAAAACTATCCATCCAATGTAAAATAGAAAGATCCCTTTTTCTAAAAGTTAACCGCTGGGCCAACTGAAAAAGCCTTAAAATTTATCATTACCCTATGCTTTTTCATTTTCTTCTTCCAAGGATACATGAATCTATCTAAAAACAAGGGAGTTGAACATAGGTTCTGTTACAGTAGGTACAGGCGTGGTGATAACTTTTGACAGGAAGATAGAGGACCTGTAGTGCAGCCACACCGACCCTCCATGCATCAATCTGCCATTTCACTTGTCCACCTGCTTCTATAACCCTTTCCCTTTCCTTAGGACAATTGGCAACATGATCCTGATTCAAAAGTCATTATAGTACAAATAAGTTGAAGAAGTATCTAACATACAAGATTGAAAGCATTAGAGAAGTAGATAAATTGCCCTTCACCTTACTTAGAGAATATGAAAGACCCTGTCGGCACAAGATAGCTCTGCAATCGCCAGCATTGGCAACAAATAGTGTGTCACCAATGATCAAGGAAGTGATTCCAGTACAACCGGGATGCCAATCTTTCTGAATTTTTCTATGAGATTTACGGCATGATTCTAGTTCCTTCCTGAAAGCCAAATCGGTATTCACAAATGCTCCCACTAATGCATCTGCAGGACTGCAGCCACAATACTCAGAAATTCATGAAGTGCATAAATAATTTCTGAATGCATATATATATACATATGTACATACATATATACACATATACATACATATTTATATACATATACATATACATATTATTATATATGTATGTATGTATATGTGTGTGTGTCTATAGGAAAGAGGGAGAAAGAAACCTGGTTGTTGCACCTGTCAACGATTTAAAAAACCCCGGTATTGCTTGCACAGCAAATTCAGCAGCTGCTGCACCTGAACTGACAAAATAACTCAGAACTATTCACTTTCTATAAAGAATAAGATACATGTCCTATACATACCTCGATGACCATCAAAGATACCAAACAAGGAGATATTCTTTTCATATTCCATCTGGGGAAGCAAAAAATGTGTGTCTTCCATGGTTTCCCTTCTACCTCTTGTCGAAAAAGAGCCCCAGGACAGAGTGGGATGATAAAGCAAAGAATTCGGGGAAGAATAAAGCCATATGATCACTCTTGGTTCAACTTTAGGCAGTATCTCCTTAGAAGCTTTCACCCCTTGAATCAACCAGTTTATATCTCCTTCAAATTGCTGATGGCTATCCATATTAATAGGAAGCTGATCCTTATCAGAAGGATTTCTTTGACACTTTACATCTTGTCTATGATTTTTAATTATTGATTCAAGCTTTCTAACTATATCATCAAATGAAGGCCTTTTTTGAGGATCTGAATCCCAGCACACCTGAATCAGTGACAACATAGTTGATGGAGCACCTGATTCAGGACTTGCCAGGGAAGGCCGTAGTCCTTCAGTGACTACAGCTGCTGTAAGTCGCTGTTCAGTGTAGTTCATCTCAAGCACAGTGTGTGCCTGTATAGAATATCACAAAACTGTTTCATTAGATAGAACCACGTCAAAGAATTAAATGTCATTGAAAGGGACCAAAATTCAATAACAAGTGCATTAGAAGACAACTATTGGAAGCGAACTTTAGGGAGCCAATAATGAGTTCAAGATGCAACTACATGGACTGGCAAAATGATTATTACTTGTAATTGTTAACTTGGTATAGAGTATACATCAAATTGTACTCGGATGAGAGCACAAATGCAAATAAAGATGAATTTGTGGGGTCATAGAAGGGGATGAAGGCCAAGGTGGATGGGAGAGGGAGTGGGATGCATCGATGAGAGATAGGGGGGAGGAGAGAGAAGGAACTATGATCCCACTATATGTAAAGTTGGTCTGCTTTCTCCCTAAATGAATGTTTGCAGTTACATCAAATGCATTGAAATTACGTATCTAAAGGAATCATATCCCTAACATGCAACATATCTCCCATACAACCAAAGGAATCATATCCTTAATAAAAAAATGGCTCACAATCCAAACCAAATCGTATACCTGGGCTTCTGCACGTAAATCAGTGTATGGGATGACACCAGTAACAATCTCACTGCAGCAGTTCAGAGAAGAAGCAATACCACTTGTAAACATAAGAAATACAAGACCAAACATGTGCAATGCATAGACATGCGGCTAGTAGCTCTAGATGTGCAAAAACATCTTTTGTCTTCATTTTTATAATCATAATTTGATATGTAAAAAAACCAATGCAGGACCAAGATGGCACATGGAGTCAGGTAATTCCTATTATGAGTTCATAATTGTCACATATATGGTGCAAACAAAATTTTGGAAGAAGTATATTTTCTATATCCACACTGTTGGCTAGAAAAGCTCCTTGTGGCCGTAAGCAGTCACAGCAAGTGTGGTTCAACCAATTTAGTTAGCCCATGGTTGCTATTGAGTTTCATGAGCAATTCTGACTATTCCCTCCGTGTAAGGATGAGACCTCAAGGTACTACCAAGCAATAGAACAGATTTCATGAACAATTGTATTAGCTTACAATAAATCCTTATAAAGCCATCAATTGTTGACTTGATTTTTCTTACGAATTATGATTGGTATGGATGCCATGAGGCCACAAAATTAGCAAATTATTTAATGATTCTTTAGAACAGTGCTTTTACATCTTATGTGAGCAAGAAGCAATATGTCTTTTGCAAATTCAATGTGGAGGCAGATAGGTGCACAATCTTCTTCAAAACACCAGTACTACAATGAACAGTCCTATGCACCATATCCTGATAATATAAATAGCATTCGCATTGCTTTGAATCATGTTTTCCACAAAAGAATGAAAACACAATGAGGTGGACTGTCACTGAATTTAGAAGTATACATCCAGATTTACTAGCCTTCCATGATGTAGATGTAAACCAGCAGAGAAACAAACATTTTTATGAAAGCAATCACCCTGAATCAAAAATTATTTCAATTCAACAAACTACTCACTTTGATTTATATGTTCATCAGTTCATGCTCCATGAGATGCTCCATGAGGGGGTTTAGAGAAGGAGGGTCATGGGATTTGCCAATATATCCATGGTACATATCGAGACATTATTGACCTCCAATAATTCTTTTAAGCATGTGATGTTTTAGGGTATTTAAATTTTGCACCAGGCTTTGCATATGTAGATTAGTGATTCAATGTCGAGGAATAGAAGTAATCAAATTCAGCTTCTTATCCTGCCAGAGCATTAACAAACTAACCAATGGAAGTAAAAAATTCCCTAGTATAAAAAACTCATGACTAGCATGGAATCTGTTTAACATGTTTGTGCTTCATGTGATTGATGCCATTAATATCATAAGTTGTCTTGATTATAGGACTTCCACTCACAAAGTTTTAATAATCACCCAAATTTATTCAATAACATTAAGTATCAGGGGGAAAACAAAAAGCAGTTTGTTCGAAGAATGATGGCTGGCTCACTAGTAATTGAACTCCATACATTCCAAATTCTTACTTGATTGTAATTGCAAAACTGTAGACATCTGATTTCTCCGTGTGAACTTCTTTTCGCAAGATTTCAGGAGCCATATATATCAGTGTTCCTACCATATTTTTTTTATGAAAGCCGCCAGTTGGCTTCCCAGAAGACCTCCAATTTTCCATGGAAACCTGTTTAAGGTCCTTTTTGTATACTGCCAATCCGAAGTCTGCAAGGTGTGGCTGAAGCTTTCGGTCAAGCTGTATGAACAATAGCAATATTCATCAGAACATATAGCATCATCATTATTTAAACACATGATGGTCAAGAAGAAAATCACAAGAAGAAGGCTCATACAAGAACATTTGATGGTTTCACATCCCTATGCGCGACCCCAAGGTTATGTATGTATTGCAAAGCTTTTGCTGGACAACATATAATGGTTAGACATTTATCCCATTCGTGGCTGCACTAAAATGATATAATTCTGTCGCACAATTCACCATACATTTCAGAACGAACTGCACTTTGTTATGTACCAAAACCAGAAAGAGAGAGAAAAATAATGAAGATGCATATTTACGGAATAACAGTTCGACTGTGAGAGAAAATCAATTTATTTCAGAGTGTAAAGGGACCAAATTTGAGTCTCCTAGCCTCGTATGTAATTATTATAATATTGCAAAGTCTGTTGGTGGTAAAATTTCGAGGCAGTCGGAGAAAAATAAAGCAATGCAGATTCTGGACACCCTTGGCACTTGAAGGTTCATTTTTATAATCATAACAACTCATTGTGAAGGTTCATTTTTATAAGGTGGACATTTGGTCCACTATCTGTTCTTTTTGTTTTTCATTTACCACCTACTTGCGTGGCAACAAAGCAACCCCCTTTCAAAGTTTGACACCTCCTTTAAGAGGTGGTTGGGTGTAAGTCTCTCCCACTCTCTCTCTCTCAAACCTTGAACTGCGTTTTCTCCCTCTTAAGCCTCAGGCTTTATGAGCAAAAAGCTTCTCATTTCTCTCTCTAATACTCTGCAAAATAAGAGTTGAGCTCCTGTGTGCCTTTGAGAATGACGCTCCCATATATGGAATCGGTTGTTGGATTTATGGTCTTGATGTACATTTTTTAGACATATCTAGACTTTCGGCAACGATAATAATATAACAGAGTGACATATAGGTAAGTGACCTCATTCTCTTAAAAAATAGTGCGTTTTTAATAAAATTGTGATATTTCGTCCATCATTTTTACATTATAAGTTTTATGCATAAGTGATCTCATTTTTTGTAAAATAATTATTTAAAATTTTGTATCTCCTCTTTTAATAAAATTGTGATATTTCCGTCTACTGTTATGAATTTTAGACACTGTAAATTTTATGTATAAGTGATCTCATTATCCTGTAAAACTGTTATTTAAAAATTAGTATTTCCACTTTAATAAAATTGTGACATTTTATTTACTGTTATGAAGTTTAGCTACGGTAAATTATGGTATTTCCTGTTTCAATAAAATTGTAAAATTTCTGTTTATTATTATAAATTTTAGATATCGTAAGTTTTATGTGTAGGTGGCTTCATTTTTCCTGAATCTTCATTATTTCAAGAAAACTGATATTTCTATAATATTCCGAGATATTTCTGCATTTAATTGTAATATTTCTGAAACTTAATATTTGCAGCATAAATCTTAGTTACTGTAAATGTTATATGCAAGTGTTACACGTGTTATGTGCAAGTATTATGTACACGTGTTATGTGCAAGTATTATGTGCACGTGTTATGCGCACTTGTTATGTTCAAGTGTTATGTGCAACTGTTATATGCAACTATTATATGCAAGTATTATGTGTAAGTGTTATGTGTAAATATTATGTGCAAATGTTATGTGCAAGTGTTGTGCGCAAGTGTTGTGTACAAGTGTTGTGCGCAAGTGTTGTGCGCAAGCGTTGTGAGCAAGTGTTCTATGCAAGTGTTCTCTGCAAGCATTCTTTGCAAGTGTTGTGTGCAAGTGTTATGTGTAAGTGTTGTGTGCAAGTGTTATGTGCAAGTGATTGCTACAAATTGCTTCATGAGAATTTATGTTAACAATTTCAAGGATATTTTGAAAATAAGATACTATTATTTTATGATATCTACTACATTGAAATATGGCCTGTAATTGACACAATAATGTCTTTAGAATTTATGTGCATGGTAATAAAATATGTGTGCATGACAACATGCTTCTGATATGATATGTATGCTTAGCAACATACTTCTGATAAGATATGTATGCATGACAACATGCTTCTGATAAGATATGTGTGAATGGCAACATGCTTCTGATAAGATATGTGTGGATGACAGCATGCTTCTGATAAGATATGTATGCAGGGCAACATGCTTATGATAAGATATGTGTGCATGACAATATGTTTCTGATAAGATATGTGTGTATGGCAACATGCTTCTGATAAGATATGTGTGCATGGCAACATGCTTCTAATAAGATATGTGTGCATAGTAACATGCTTCTGATAAGATATGTGTGCAGGGCAACTTGCTTCTGATAAGATATGTGTGCATGGTAACATGTCATTGATAAGATATGAACGCATGATATTTGTGCCCGCAGCTGTGATTTATCCTTATTCTCTATAATTGGATGAGAGTTAGGAATGGATTGTGTTTGGGAGGTCGCACCCCCAAAATTTGTGTGAGGCATTACTTATTGGGACCCCTTTGGTAGTGTAACACTCTCTCGCCAGAAGGACACATGAGAGGGTCGTGTCTTGCAAAGGCCAGTGCCTATCGAAAGCCTCAAAGCACACTGGGGTTGTGTGCGTGTGTGAGGCACTACGTAACGGATTTATCCGTTGGTAGTGTTTCTCCCTACGGGATGGTAAAAGTTCTAACCTTGGACCCAAGGTTAGTGCTGCTATTGCAGGACTTCTATTGTTGTGAATGCTTGTTTAATTCTATCTGATACGTAATTACAGTAATGTTAGAATATTGTTGATCTTGATAGGAATCGTGTGTCTAAGTGGACTCATCCGGTATGCCGGTGAGTATGAGTGGACCCATCCAAGATGTTGGTAGGGTATATAAGTGACCTACTTGGGACGCCAGTAGGGTATCTTGTGAAATCCTTTGTGTTATGTTAAACTGGGCATTTCTGTTAAAGGAATTATATATGCACTTTCTCATACTGGTTTAGTATCCATTCAAATCTTCGAAATTATGATAAATTGTGTGTTTCTGAATTTGAATATGTTATCCATGTATGTTATTCCTCATATTATGCATTCTTTTAAAAGATATTTACACTTTCTAACCATGATTTGTAAGGATAATGATGATCACTTACTGAGCAGCCAAACTCATCAAGTTATTGTGAAATCTATTCAGAGTAATCACAGCCGTATTGTCCGTATGTGCAGTAGGAGGAGTTTGAAAGAAGTTTGTAATCATGGATAATTAGCCTTTGTAACTATTATTTTATCAAAATTGTATATATATAGTTCCTCATGTTATCATAAGTTGTGAATTAGACTTTGTACATAAAGCTTTCGAATGGAAAATTTGTTTTAAAGCAATATATAGCAAAAATTTCAAACTTGTTTTGTTCTTTAAGAACAGACTATCACATCTCTGGAATTTTAGTGTTATAAATGTTGGGGTGTGCCATTATTGGATAAGAAAGAAGAAAATCAAAGCGTCGGTTATTCTCTAAGTTATGTATATTACACGGAGAAGACTAGTAGTGAGAGAGAAATTATGCAGAGTTAACCCTGATGTCGAGTTAAGAGTCTATAGGGGTGAGAGTTTCTAATGGAGGCATGTACAGAAGCCACCATCTCCTCTCAAGAGTACATGATTGTTTTTGCACCAAGAAAAATATATTTTTTGGCATATGTATTGTGTGTCACTGTGTCCTATTGTCTGGTTTGAAAGCTTAAAGTATAATATATATACGATGAGAAATTTTGGGAAACTAGTGTTTATGTAGCACCAAAAGCCACTTTCTGACACGAAATATAAACAAAGTGGATGCTTCATAAAAAATGGAACAATTGATAGGAAGAAACCCTTGCTTTATCTAGATGCAGTACATAGACAAATAGTTGAGAGTTTGGCAATCGGTTTATCAATGTACTACTCAGCTCAAAAATATGCATGGAGAACATCATATCTATCTGGATCCTAAATCACATTTTATTCCAATCCTTCACAATATTTCCAGCATTACAATAAGGATACTCATTTCTTGCATTTACCCATTGATTTTACCATGTGTTATCATACGCCTATTGAGATAACATATTATTAACAAGGAATTTCAACTTTGAGAATGCCACTTTCTTAGTTCAACACACTGGCAAAGTGGTTGACGCAACAGCCATATCCATATGCAGTGATTTAATTGCCACCAATCTCTTTCAAAAATTTGGGTATATAATAAGCTCATCATTTAGCTTTATTTGGTTCTAAAAACAAAAAGATAAAGATGGATGGCTTCTAATCTAAAAACAAAAAGATAAAGATGGATAGCTTCTAATCTACTATTCACAAGCAGATTAAAGTATATAGAGCACACTATAGACTACTGTGGTAAATATACTAATAGATAGGTTCTAGCAATTGTTCTTAGAAGGAAGATGTCACTTACTGAACTCAATAGCATTGATTGGAGCAGTTGTGTCAGCCAAGTTATTTGTAGGTTTAGTCCATATGCTTTTAGGATAGCTTAGTAGTAAATTATGTTCTATTACCCTGACTAAAGTTGTGGTCATTTTAATGCTACACTTTAGGTGTGTCTATCCCAGCTGCAGAAGGATTCTTCATACAAATTAATTTTACATGGAGTCTTTTCTTTCAGACAAAAGAAAAATTCACTAGCATTATGCTCAGGTATAACAATTATACTCAGGTATAACAATTCAAGAAATAGAGTAAAGAGCATATTCTGAAAGGAAAATTGCTTCCATTATTGAGACAAAACAATTGTAAATGACAACAAAATGAAAAATACATAGTTTTAGTCACTTGATGATGGTCTATGCACATCCTCTTCATCAAAGAATCATCATAAAAAAATGGGCAAGGATAAAGGTAAGAGCAATAAGAAAACCTAGTTCAATTGCGATTGACAATGCTTGGTCAATAGTTGGATTCCACTCTTCCACATGAAGCATTTTGGCTAAGTTATGGCACTCATAGAATTGGAAGAAGAACATGTAATTGGGTGGCCTCGCGTGTGCCGCGACAAGTGTGGCTATACCAGGATGGTCCAGCTTGCTTCAAATTAAAAACCAAAATATCATATAATCATCAAGTCAACTGCAATAATTACCAATTTTGACAAATTTCCCAATGATTACAAAGAGACAGATTAAGCTGATCACAAATGAAAGCCCCAATTTCCAAGACAGAAGGATATTTCATATCTATCATTTTTCAAAACCAAAATAAAAAATAGAGGAACAAATACAAGGAAAAGGTTCAACCAAATACAAATTACAACCCCAACACAAATATTCATCAAAGAACAGAGAAAAATAAATATTGTTTATAAACAATCCTCCAAAAAAGGAAACCATGAGTGGATTAAGAGAACAGCAAATGTTCAACCAACCAGGACTCCTCTGAATAAATCTTATGGCCATGGCTGAGTTGTGGCGAGTTCCAAGGGCAACTCACCACACATGAAAAAAAATATGTAAAAACAAAGGTTCAAATATAAAATTCTCAACACATTTTTAGATGATTTTGATGGTTTATGAGATGAATTGGGAACTTTTATTATCACATGATCCAATTACTTTTTTTTTATTTCTTCTTTTTTTTAAATATTCAAGGAATAAAAAAAAAATTATATAATCCATCTTTTATAGATTTTTTTTTTATCTTCCATAGTCTTTTAGCGATCCCTATCGCTTATTTTATTTTTCTGATTTAAAAATAAAAAATCGAACTTTTTACCTTTTTATTGTTTTTTATCATTTCTTTGAGCAAGCAGGACTCGGGAACTCACAGCTTCGGGCCGGTAGCGATTCAAAAAGTATTGCAACCAAACATAAGATAAAAAGCATTGCAATCAACCAACAATATAATGGTCAACTCAAGAGGCAAAAATTATTTCATCTGCCAAATTCTTCAAAAACTAAAAACAATGATGGAATTCTTAGAACAGTCCCACCAACCATAAAAGCTGCAACTCCTGATGGAAACGGTCCAGATCATCTGATGTAGAAAGTATAGGTTTCTTAACAGCGACTTTCTGGCCCTCAAGGGAAGCCTCGTACACAACACTCTCTGTACCTAAAAAACGACATGGATTATCATTTGAAGGAAATGAGAATAAAAAATTGACATGGGGGGCATGTTGATGTTATTCACAAAGGCAGGTTAAACAACTGCATTCCTGTGAAAACCGAGTAAATGAAATTCGATTGTACGAAAAAATATTGGGTCGTGGATGCCCAGTAGAGAGACATTACCTCGAGCAATGGGAGAATTGAGAGAGTAGGAGGAGGAGCAGAGGTGCAAGGGAATGGATTGGCTGGTGCAGCAGCCCCGTATGCAGGTATTGGGCTCCAATATCTCCACCATCTCTCCCACAAATAAATTGAAGAATAAACCCATATCTCTTCTTTCTCTCTCTTTTTTATAACTTAAACGACCTGTATCTTTTCCAGCAGTTCAGCAACAAGGAAGAAATCGAACTTGAGATGTAGCATTGCTCAACGTGGAATTGATTTCTCTCTTCTTCTCCCTCACATGAATTGAAGAACCAACACATATTTTCTATCTATCTCAAATAAATTGAAAGATCAATTATATCTATTTTTTTCAGAAAAAATTGAAGAACCTATATCTCTTATTTCTCTCTTGTCTCTGAATATAATCCGTCAGAAGGAACGTTGTCTTGGGACTGGAACTGCTGAGTAGAGCCTTAGTCCTCCAGGTCTACCAGAGCATGTGATCTGCCTGGAGTACAGGAAAAGGAAAGAGCTAAAGACTAGGGAGACCATCCATTCAAATGAACCCACGTGGAGGATGAATGACTTAGAGAGCACGGGGCCTTACAATCTTTTGTTGGATAGTCCGGGGGAGGGATCAAACCTATATTTGCATCAACAGCTGTAGGGGTACTATTGCTTATAGACCCCAAAGGACTTTTTATGGTATATATTTAACCATGTCACCGTCCTCCTCCAATGGCTAAAAATGAATTTTATTTTCTATTTTTATTTTTAATTTAAAAATAATAATAATTTGAAATTTAGGTTTTCGCCTATTTTTTAAGTAGTATTAAATAAAAATAATAAAAATATTGATCATAATAAATTTAAGGATATTTTAGTCATTTTTATTTAACACATGTTCATTCAATTGTATTTAATTTGTTTATACAAATAAATCTCCGCATTAAAATTATGATAAATATTTTATTTAAATGAAAAACAAAACATGGAATCGATTTGTTATCATTAGATTTGGCTTTGTGAAATCTCAACAATTAGAAGATTGCTTGTTCACCCTTTTCACTTTTCCGCATCATGTGGACGGGATACTTTTCGTTAGTAAAATTAGAAATTAATAAAGGACCTTTTTCAATGTACATAAGCCCATGGGCTTGCCTTGACCCTATTACACAAAATGTTCAAATTTTTTATAAGGCCCGGCCCATTAGGGTGTAGCCTCGGGCGGAATTGGGCTAGGACAATTGCCAACATGTAGGGATGGATTCATTCCTAACCTACTGGACCTAAGACTATTCAGGGTGAGGCTTGGCTAGGCCTAACCAAATATTGTGGTGGGTTTGAACCTAGGCTAGGGCCAAGCTACCCAAGCCAAAACCTACGTTAACAAGCCTAATAGTGCCACGAGAATAAATATGACGTGAATCAAAATCTAAAGGACAAGGTCTTTCGGAGTCCCGGACTTATATGCGAAAATAAGTCTCCTCCCCCTCTTAAAAATTTATTTTCCATATAGATTTTGGACCTAATATTTTAGGAATATATAATCTCCAACATATAAATCACTAACATGTAAAATAAAATAAATGTTTTCAAAATTATTAAAGAAAACCCTAAATCAAGATAAAGAAATAAAGCAAATATAAATATTATTCAAAACTGTATAAACCCTACCCTATAATGATTAAAACAAAAAAAAAGCAAAAAAATTAACTTAATAATTATAAAGAATTTCTAATTTTCTTAAAGTTTTTAGACAAAACCTCATAAAATTCAATAAATACAAAAATTATTTGAAAACTATCTAAAAGGCAATCTAACACAACCTATAGATTTTTTACCGTAGATTTTTAAAATTTAAGATTGATATGAAAAATTCGCAAATCTTTTGAGAAATATAATATTTCAAAAATTCATGTACCCATGATTCCTCCTATCGAACCGTGTGACTCCAAAAATTCCAAAATATTAGTTTTCTCTCTCTTTTGGACACTTTGGCCCGTACCCCCTTCTCCTACTCTCCTTTTTCTCTATAATATCAACAAACATGCCAGAATCTAGTGACTGAACTGGAATCCCCCTTTATCTCTCCTCAAACTCATGCTCTTACACTTCGCTCTCTTATGGCTTGTTTGATAACAGGAAGCTACTTCTTCTGTTTACTAATAGCAAGCGTTGTGTTACTTTTTGGAAGCCACATATTCCACAAATAGCGGACTTAAAATGGGGAAGTTGCAACTTTTATGTTACCATATGGAAGTCATGGCCTCCAAAGTTAGTGGAAGAGGTAGTTTTAGCAACCGCTTAATCCACCAATTAAACGTATGTCCTTAAGGCCACATTTGGTGTCTAGTTGTTATTGGTTCTCTGGAACTTAAAAGTTCTAGCTCCCTGGAAGCTGAAACTATTGATATCAGGAAGTTCTAGAATATCTTTTATTACATTATGGAGTTCTAGAATATAGAGATCACGTACATTGGGTCGTGTCGAGTTGGACCCGACCTAGACCCAGATCGAGTCCAGTTCATTTAGACTTGGAACCAACCCAATGGGTCTAATATATGGGTGCAAGCCTGGATCTGTTTTGGTCAATCTGATGGGTTGGCGGGTCGTACTACCCAATTGCCACCCCTAGACCCAACCAAATCGGCTTTGACACAAGGGCTACTAGGGAATGTTGTCCCACAAATTTTTGAAAATCAACATGAAACACCCCCTTCCCTTTAAGATTTATACGTAAAAACAACTAGGAAATTGTTTTTTGGAATTTTTTAGACCAATAGTTCACCTTAGTATATATATTAACAAACTAACCTCTCCCCCCATCCCAAAAATAAAATAAAATAAAATTAATAAATAAAAAGGAAGAAAAACCCCAAAAGCAAGCCCACCTAAAAAAGAAGGAAAATGACACTCAATCCCTTTGGATCATCCCATGTGCACCCTAAGGTTCGTGAAAAACCCATGAATCTCCCTTAACTTTTAATCACAATAAACTTCCTCCACATTTTCACCGTCTAAATAATTGTTTAACTCTAGTTTCTGTCTATTCCTAGTATTAACCCATGAACCAACGCTATTTTTTTTCTATTCTTAGTATTAACCCATGAACCCCTTCTCTCTATCCATTTTCCCCCTCTCTACCTGCCAATCAAACTCCTCTTCTCATCTCAAACATCCCATGACATCACCCTATCTCTTTCCCATCCTCTACACACACTCTTTTCCCCAATTTTCAAGTATTCTCTCTCCATGATTCAATAAAAAGAGAGAGAGAGAAGGGAGATTGGTTGTGTAGATAGAGATGAAGAGAGGGAAAGGGGTAGAGAGAGAATGGGGGAGACGGGGTTGAGGGTTTAAAGAGTTATATATATATATATGGATTTTGGGATATAGTAAAATAGAATAAAAAATAAATTGAAACAATTATTTGGATAGTCAAAAAATGAAGGACAGGGTAATATATCTTATTATTAAAAGTTCAGGGGGATCCAGAGGTTTTCTCTGGACTTGAGGGCATATGCGGGATGAAATTCTACTAAAGGGGTGAGTATCTTTTTTTTACAAAAAAAAAAAAAAAAGGAACAATACAAAAAATGATCCAAAATTGATAAAAATAAAGTCAAGTACTTGATTTTCCATTTTTTTCACTAAAAATATTGTTTTATGAACCCTAGGAGACCAATCCATCAATTCTCCCTCTAATCTCAATAAAAAAACTCATTTATTTCAAATTGTTGGTGATTGAATTATCAATCAAAGCCCTATTAAAAGTTCTTGGATGAAATCATGAATTTGAATATATAAAGGGTCAAAAGTTTTAAGGTTTTCATCATCCATAAAAGATCTCAAATTTGACACATTCTTGGATTTTTAATCACATTTTCTTTGGATATTTTGATTTTATAAGGGATTAGGATCGATCTAAACCATGTATCAATTTTTTTTTAAGTAACATTGTTTTATTTTAAGAAAATCCTAAACCGAGAAAAATTAAACTCAAACAATGTTTCTTAAAAAAAATTGATACTTGGTTTAGATCGATCCTAATCCCTTCTAAAATCAAAATGTTGATTAAAAATCCAAGAATGTGTTAGATTTGAGTTCTTTTTTATGGATGATGAAAACTTAAAACCTTTTAACCTTGATATCTTCAAATTCATGATTTCATCCAAGAAATTTTAATAGGGCTTTGATAGATAATTCAATCACCAAAATTTTGAAATAATGAGTTTTTTTATTGAGAATAGAGGGAGAATTGATAGATTGGTATCCTAGGGTTCATAAAACAACTTTTTTTGTGAAATAAATGAAAAAAATGGAAAATCAAGAACTTGTGCTTTATTTTTCATATTGATCCTTTTGGTGTTTTGAAAAAACGATGCTTACTCCCCTTTAGTAGAATTTCATCCCGTGTATGCCCTCAAGTCTAGAGAAAGCCGCTGGACCCCCCTGAATTTTTAATAATGAAATATATTTGACCCTCTCATTCATTTTTTTACTATCCAAATAATTGTTTTTAACTTATGTTTTATTCTATTCCTATCTTTAACCTATGTCTCAAAATCCACAAATATATAACTCTTTAAACCCTCAACACCTCCCCCCTCCCCCTCCCTCTCTCTCTACTACCCTCCCTCTCTCTCTACTCTCTACTACTACACTACACGTACACTCTCTCTCTCTCTCTCTCTCTCTCTCTCTCTCTCTCTCTCTCTCTCCCTCTCTCTCTTTCTCTCTCTATTGGTTCAAGAAGAGAGAGATTGAAGAATGGGTCAGAGAGAGTGCGTAAAAGATGGGAAAGAGAGAGGGGGTGCCATGGGATGTTTGAGATCAGAGAGAGAGGCGTCTGGTTGGGCAAGTAGAGATAGAGAGGGGAAATTGGTAAAGATAATGGGTTTATGGGTTAATACTGGGAATAGAATAAAAATAAGGTTAACACAATAATTTAGATGGTAAAAATGTGAAGGAAGTTTATTGTAATTAAAATTTTAGGGGGATTTATGGGTTTTTTATGGACCTTAGGGGTGCACATGGGATGAAAGTATGGCAAGAGGGTGAGTGTCCTTTTCCTTCTTTATTTTAGGTAGGTTTGCTTTTGGGTTTTTTTTTTTTTTGCGTTAGAGGGGAGGGGGGGGGGGCACACGGATTTTTTATACGTCATTTTTGAGGTACTTATATCTCCAAGGCGAATAAGGAAAGAGCTAGTAGTAACTTGGTCCCGCTAGTCCCAAGCCGTCGCCAGACCACGGGAACACTATTGCAATAAAGCTGAAATTGAAGTTTTCGAATGGCCTCAAATTGCATGAAATGGTAGTTTTGGATATCCTAATGATACCAACAAAGTTTCTTCATGTTTTGACGAGTTTTGAGATGATCATGACGAAACTCAGTTTGCAAATCCAATTTTTATTATGCTGAAAATGGACCTTATAACTATAACCCTATTTTATGTTTCTCAAAACAGTATCAAAGCATTTCCATTAGATCTAGAATGTCGAAAAAACCCAAGGTACCAAATTTCGGCTCAATCAGACCCTCCGAGACCACTCTAGGCATGATAAAATCATGGGTTTTATACTATTACAGTG